GAGTTGATTCGACATCCATATGGATAACCAAACAATGAAGGAAAGAGGCGGAAAGAGTACCACCCCACAAATACCATGAAACAACCAAGAGTCGTCATACAAACGAGCAAAAGACAATGAACGCCTCAAACAAGCATTACAACTATTAGTGAATAGAGCATCGTGGAACATCATCGAATGCATCACATCGATAATTGTTAAAAGACACAAATGGACAATAAGCATCATGTCGACCACGACACTGGAAACTAAGCAGGGATCAACAAGGCAACAAGAAGAAGTAACGGTAATTCGAGACGAAACAAGGGGAGGCAGAAGAGCCATGGATAAAAAATTATATGATCAAACTCATGGTGTGGTAGGAAGGAAAGAATGAACCAGGAAAGGCAGGACTACTAGAAAGAAAGGGAGCTATCAAAAGCGCAAAGCGACAAAACGATTAACTGACTTATATAATTTAAGCTGGAAAACAGAAGTTTGATCCCTGATAGGAGATAAAGGAAGAAAGTGATCACTAATAGAGATACCAACGTGGGAAGTCAAGAAATCTAGAACAATGTGAAAGGGAAGCAACAACGCCCACCACAGAAGAAAGTAGGAGGGCACGTGATGGACGCACCCGATTGCAATTAAATGGCATCTGTTGTAAGAAACACGATGAAAGAAACCCTTGTTGTTTCATAATAAATGACAATAAAGGCAATCATGGTAGCCCAAGAATATCTTTATTCTTTATAAACTTTGTAGCTCGGTCAGCCGACTACAACTTTCCAAAGGTCAAAGTCCAACACTTTGACCTAAGTTACCTGCTTAGCCCAATAATATCTTTATTCTTTATAAACTTTGTAGCTCCGTCAGCCGACTACAACTTTCCAAAGGTCGAAGTTCAATACTCCGACCTAGGCTGCCTGCTTAGCCCAAGAATATCTTTATTCTTTATAAACTTTATAACTCGGTTAGAGGACTACAACTTTCCAAAGGTCGAACTTCAACACTCCGACCTAGGCTATGCTTAGCCCAAGAATATCTTTATTCTTTTATAAACTTTGTAGCTTGGTCAGCCGAATACAACTTTCCAAAGTTCGAAGTCCAACACTCCAAACAAGGCTACTTGCTTAGCCCACGGATATATTTATTCATTATAAACTTTGTAGCCTGGTCAACCGACTATAACTTTCCAAAGGTCGAAGTTCAACACTCCGACTTAGGCTACCTGCTTAGCCTAAGAATATATTTGTTCTTTATGAACTTTGTAGCTCGATCAACCGACTATAACTTTCCAAAGGTCGAAGTTCAACACTATGACATAGGCTACCTTCTTAGCCCAATAATATCTTTATTATTTATAAAATTTGTAGCCTAGTCAGCCGACTACAACTTTCTGAAGGTTGAAGTTCAACACTTCGACCCAGGGTACCTACTTAGCCCAAGAATATCTTTACTCTTCATTAACTTTGTAGCTCAGACAGCCGACTACAACTTTCCAAAGGTCGTAGTTCAACACTCCAACCTAAGCTACCCGCTTAGCCCAAAAAACCCTATTCTTCATAAACTATGCCGCTCCGCGGGACGGTCACAACTTTTACAATAATCAAAACTTTGAAACCTTGAATTAGGATATATGTCCAATTTAAAGAACACCAGGGGACCAAATAAAAAGCGTTAATGGGCAGAAAATACTTACGAAGACTTATAAAGAGACCACCACAAAACGCAAGGAACAAACCACGATAGGAAAATTATAATCCTAGCACACAAACAAATGGCTATCACATAGTCAACTAGGGCAAGATATTAGAAATTTAAATAGAAGCGCGTGCAACCATATGATCCAACCACAACCATTCAATCACCCCAAGTGCCAACATAAATAATAAGTTATTACCAACAACATGCCCAATATAGAGCAATCAAACGACAAGAAAAACCAATATTAACCATGTGGCAAATGATCACAACTAAACCATCGAATTCATGCCACATATCACAAAGAAAAAACACAACACCATTCAATGTCCACCACTACCGGCACCACCACCATGACCGCTTGTAGATGCACCACCACCATGACCGCTTGTAGATGCACCACCATCACCAGGACGACCCGCCAACATCTGTTAAGGGGAAACCAAATCCAGACAAGTAATCAACGTAGAACAAAACAGAAAATGCCTCATCCATCTTTTGCATGCATGTAGGATCATACAATGGAATGTCAGTATCATTCAAACCCTGATTGTGCTCTGCATTCATCATCTCACAACCAACTCTCCTGCCAAAATCAACACAAATGGATTGAAGATCGCGGTTAGCCTCAAAAAATGATGACTCAGTGATATTGCTATATTTATACATATATTTAAGCATTATTTTAATACATTTTAAGCTAATATTAGGTTAAATGCAAAGAAATTTGGTACTTATTGAGTTGAATTACATTTTGTAGCCAAATAGGACATTCTTGAAGTAAAAGGACCAAAACTGACAAATACTGGAACCTGGAAGGACTGGAGCTGAAACTGGGAGCTTAACGGAGCTTAAAAGGAAAACACACCATGAATAGCTACGATTTTTAGAAAGTATAAATATCCCTCTATATATCGATTTAAAGAGGTTGGATCTGATATTCTAGAGAGAAAAAACGAATTCAGAAGCCAGAGAAGAGCGAAAAACAACCCTTTGGAAGAGAGAACGTTTGGCGATTAAAGATTTGAAGATTACACATCACATTCGGTTTGCATTAGATTAACTATGTCAAATTCTTATGTTTTTGTGTGCTTATTTTCTGCCATGAATAGCTAAATATTAGGCTTTCTTTTAGTGTAGATGAACCCTAATACTATATGTTAGTTTCTTGCTTATATTTGGATTTTATGAAGTTGGTTAATGCATGTGTTGGATTATCATTACCTGCATATTAAAGTTTGCATCCTTGTTGCTTTGATTCAAGTTAAGTGTGGTTTAATGACCATCTGAATTGCATGAACTTGTTTACCTAGTAGTTTAATGACCATTTGAATTGCATGAACTTGTTTACCTAGTAGTTTAGGACCATTAAATTGCTAGAGCTAGGATTAATCACATCTTAGATTAAGTGATAAAGATAACAACTTTAGCTGTGTTGGAGAACATAATTTGATCATAATTGTGTTTGGTAATTTGTCTTAATAATAGATAATTATCTTAGATATATCTTACATAGCCCAATTATCATTAATAATCAATTATGTGTTGTGCTTGTGTATGATCATTACATAGTAGTTCATGAATTGGTGAAAATATTAGGATATCGGATCAAGACTGCTAATTACATTAAAATTTGTAACTAACTGAATAAATCCATACTTAGAAACTACACACAGGAAAAAAGGGGATTCGAAGCTAAACGGAAGTGTCTTCTTAATTTTGTTTACAATCGTTTATTTTAGTTGAGTGTTGAGTTTTAAGTTAATCTAAATTTGCAAAATCAGATAAAACCCCTTCTTTACTTATTGTTTTTAGATTGTTATTAGTAAATGAGTCGAGATAGTTTTTTCTTTTTTACCCTTTTATCAAAAGTTCCACAATGGAGACATAATTTAGGTGAACAAATGCGCACTATTTTGGTTTTGAAGTGGACGAATCAATAATCTTTGGTTGAACGAGCAGGAAACAAAATCCAAATATGCTTTTTGCTAGATTGTCTAAGATAATATTTCCTTTTAAAACAAAATATTTCATTAATGAAGTATTTATATAAGGTTACAAAAATTATGATATACTATTCGAAATTGGTCTAACCTAGGCCGAATTATATATCATTTAGTCTAACCTAGGCCAAATTATATATCATTTAGTCAAAACGTTTAAAGTAGACATAAACTTATGAAACATAATATCATACATGCTAGTAAATGTTGTTAATGAAAAGAAGGTTCTACATGGTTTTGATCATAATACAATCAACACTTACAAAACTTCCAACACTCATAACATTTAAGGTTTAAGTATAAAAAGTAATGCACTTTAATTTCCAATATATCTTGATTTTCAAACTGGAAAGTCTCCAACTTATAACAAACTTTATTTATTCACACATATTATCAATTAAAGACCATGTTAGAATGTGCCTTGGATTTTAGTGACCCGAATATAACGAAGTAAGGAAAATCGAATGATGATTTCGAGAGGATAAGTGTTTGGAGTAGGTTGATGATCTTTAGGTTCAAAACATGTTCAATTGTTTCAAATTTACTTGTATATGGGTTCATCCTATAGCTGTCCGGGCTTACGGTTATAAGGATTCGTAGATAGAGATTATAATGTAATCACTTTCTAAACAATAAAAGTATTAGAAGATCCTACGGTTCCTATCCGTATATGTATGTTACATCGACCGAACCATAATAATTCTCTATGTTGTTTTATTGTTTTCTGAGCTTGCTTGGGTAACATACCGATTTAAGTCCAATAATGTCATCTTACAAAACCTTCAGGTCCAAATATCTAACACTAAATCATGAGTATCACACCAACGTAACAGTTGTATACTAACATTTAAACCAATTGAAGAAAAATATTTTTCTCCATATAAAATTGATTTGGCTCCTCCTTTTGTTTTTATGTTTATCAACGGTTCAAAGTTGACAAATAACTCGTTAAACTCATTGTTTATTGTTTCGACTTGTTGTTGGGAGCCAAACGTTTTGCAAACATCAGATTTTCAATAAATGTCTTCGATTACTTCTTAACCATCATGTCTCCTAATTTGAGACTAGGAACGCTACACAAATTTGATTATTCTCTTGGTGCATAAATCTTCATTGGTTTCCTAAGCACTTTAAGAATACAATGGCATGTATTTGGACCATAAACACCCTAGATAAGATTCATAAGTATGGATCATTAGTGTAAAATGTACTTCTTTTTAAGGACTAAATTTGCCGGTTACCAATGTGTCTAGGGACTATTGTTGTAGTTGAATCCATACACAACAAATGAACAAGTTCACCACTCTCCACGCCTCTAAAAATAGAGAAAACAGCTGGGAGTCTTGGTTAGGGTTCTTCGATCGTGCATAAATCTGTGCAGCGTAATGCACTACTGATTTTAAGGCGTTGAAATCCGAAGGAAATTGTCTGGCAATGGCTTTCGAGAGTAAAAAACTCATTAACAACCCTAATGGTAACTAAAATGACTCTTATCCTGTCAATTTTATTTTGACTTTTGCTTCATTCCTGCAAGTGCTTATTTGTTTCTGATTTTTTTTTTATCTTTAACTCCGATTCTATCAAACTACTTTTAGGACTCGTTAGATAAACTTTTGCGTTGATTTTTATGAAGAAATTTGATGCGTTCTGTTATATGTAGGCCACTTTACTTTTATGTGTGCTCTTTTGAGTTTTTGTAAGCAGATCGATGATTTTCCTTTTCTTACATTTGATTGATGGGTATACTTTTAAATTCTACTGCATAAAAGATCATCAACCAAGGACAAAACATTCTGATATCTACTATCAACATCTTCTGCTTGTAACTGGTTTACTATCTGTGATAGTTTGATGGTTGTTCTGCTGATTTGCTTATGCAGTATTCTTCCTTTCCCAGAATAAAGCAATTCTGTATATATAAATTAGTATGTTTGACCATCTTTCGTCTATCTAGAATTCGATAATAACGACAAACAGATAAATCTAGCTGGAAGAAAGCATTGTTATCAATATTCTGCAATGATTGGTAAAGGGAAAAGAGGTAATCTTGCAGTAAAAACCTTGACTAAAAGAAAAGATTTTTTTTTTTTTTTTTTTTTTTTAATCTAATTGTGCTCGTATGCTATGCTTAGTTTTAACTTTTAAGCAGACCAGCCCTTGTTAATGATACAAAATCGGGCTGACTTGAGACTTGAGACTTGAACAACAAGAGTAATGGCACCATGAAATTGTTGAACCTCTATTGACTCACTTAATGAATTTGTAGCTGGTTGCTGTCAACCTGAGATCTTAATGTTGACTCTCAGCATTCATGTTACTTCCTGTGATTAAAGCAATGAAACTAAAATATAAGACAATCCCTACTCTCTAGCAAGCAAGCTGAATAACATAGCACTATCATATAACCTTTCTGACTGAGTGTATTCTTGTATTCCCATATAGTGGTTCAATAAATGAAACAACAAGTTATCTTTAGGCCATGAACCTATCTATTTGTTAGGACCTATTTTGAACACAACACGAAAAGGCCAGAAAGCTAGATAGAGAAGTATGGTTACAGTTATTCATAGATATGTGAGCAAAAGAGAAAGGCTCTTAAATGCCACCGTTGTTGTCAACTATCATATCCACAGAGTTACTTCAGCATCGAGAATGATATAGCTATACAAGCATAAGTGTATGCACAATGCACTTGGTACTGATGTATGTTCTTTTTAGAAAGCGATTTGTCATTTGAAGACTACTGTTCCTTCTCATTCGTTTTCTTGGCTGAGGGATTATATGAATATTCCTCCCTAGTATTTCACTATCATTTATTATTTGATGCTCCATGATTGGATAACAAAAATACATTTCTTTAATAGCTTTCTTGAGGAGGTTGTTGAAATTCAGGGTCTGGGTCCAGGCCATATGGAGTGCCTACCCAATTATATGTGGGTAAGGACAAATGACCACTATGGTAGTTATTTGTAATCTGTGCACTACAAAAAAAAAAAATGCATCAGAATCAGTCCACCTCTTTTCAGTTGCATATGTTATGTTACAATCTAGATATGTATGGAATGTTTTATAATCTAATGATTCAAAATCTATGAGTGTTATGATTTCGGCCTTTATCTGGTTTGTTCCATTTGGAGTTTAGGGTTGATTTTTTTTTTGCTGTACTTGCTGCAGATGTGGTGACTGAGTTCATTGAGGGACTTGTAGAAACTTATCCTGGGTTGCAGTATTTGGATGGATTTCCAGAGGTGTGAAAGTTTTATAAATTTAAAGCATCATCTATAGATTGTTGTGTTACTAGTACTGATGTTCTTTCTGTAAACAAATACAACAGGTAAAGGTTGTTTTACGTGGTGATGTTTCAGGTCCAACATATGACAAAGTTGCTGTTATATCAGGTAATGTGTTTACATTGTGAGTTTTGGTTAACTACTGTTTGTGTTGTAACTTGTAATATGTTTGAACCACAGGAGGTGGGAGTGGGCATGAGCCTGCTCATGCTGGGTTCGTAGGGGATGGGATGCTCACAGCAGCTATCTGTGGCGACGTTTTTGCCTCCCCACCTGTTGCTTCAATTCTTGCTGTAGATAAATTAGAATTCTATTCAACCGCTTCTCCTTTTGATAGTTGATACTTGATACTGCAGCTAATGTTATCATCCAATCCAATTGCATTTGCATTTTGCAGGGCATAAGAGCTGTGACTGGGCCAATGGGATGTCTCCTAATTGTCAAGGTGAAGAGGAGTTTTTGTTGAATGATGTCTTTGGATTAAATTTAACTGAAAGATATTTGATCTACAGAACTACACTGGCGACCGATTAAATTTTGGATTGGCAACTGAGGAAGCAAAGTCTGAAGGCTACAAAGTAGAGGTGACTTGAGTGCATATAGACATAATTGACATGCAGCTCTTACTTAGCAAATATAATATTTGTTTGTACTTTGTAGATGGTGATTGTTGGAGATGATTGCGCTTTGCCACCCCCACGGGGCATAGCTGGGCGAAGAGGTTTGGCTGGAACCATTCTTGTCCACAAGGTTTATCCTGTTATAATCTATTTGCAAATACATGATAGGAAAATAAACCATACCAAGATACATGCATACAATGATCTCCACATCCCTTGCTATGTTTGAATGAAAAATATGAGAAATTCAGATTGCAGGAGCAGCAGCTGCTTCAGGTCTTCCTCTTTCTGATGTTGCTGCTGAAGCAAGGCATGCATGTGGAGTTGTTGGTACAATGGGTGTTGCACTCTCGGTTTGCACGCTTCCAGGTCAGCCGAAATCGGACCGTTTAGGCCCAGGAAAAATGGAGCTTGGTCTTGGAATTGTAAGTTTATCTGCATTTGCTTTTTTCTTTTTTTTAAAAAAAAAAAAAAAAAAAAATCCTAACACTCAAGTTGCATTTGCTTCAGCATGGAGAACCTGGTGCTGTCGTGGCAGACATCCAACCTGTGGATTTGGTGGTATCCCATGTGCTGAATCGCATACTCTCATCAGTAAGTCACTTCAGACTGACTCATTGGTTTGGTTTTATGATTTTATCTTATACTACACACTGCGTTGCTTGATAGTTGATATGCCATCAAAAGTTGGATTATGTTGTCAACGTCTATCATGCTCTGGAAAGAATATCCAGGATACCCAAAAGTTATTTGATTGGTCTAGTCCTTTAAGTTCCTCAACCAACCAGGGGAATGTTGTTATATGTTTATCGTGTGTTGAATAGTATATGTTTTCTTTTATTTGTTTGTTTTCAACTTAATGGTAACTTGTTTCTGTCTTTTCAGGAAACTAACTATGTTCCAATTAAACGTGGAAGTCGTGTTGTACTTATGATTAATGGGTATGTAATGTTAATGTAATCTCTCTTGCTTAGTTGCTTCTTGCCCTTTTGATAAGTGGTGTGGTATCTTACCCTAGCCTGTGTTAACATTTTAAGGGAAGTCGGAAGCTATCTAGATGCATATTGTTTTATCTTTTTTAAAGTAAATAAGATTGCTAATTATGTATTTCTTATTGACAAATTGGATTTGTGATTTGAAAATTGTAAATCTCAGATTAGGGGGGACACCTGTAATGGAACTGATGATTGCTGCTGGAAAGGCTGTTCCTATATTACAGCTGGAACATGGAGTAGCAGTTGTTAGAGTGTATACAGGGTCATTCATGACTTCTCTTGATATGGCAGGTTTGTTAAGTTCCTTTTTGTTTTCTGATGCAAAAAAAGTGGTTAATATCTTTGTGTTGTGTTGTGGTGCAGGGTTTTCAATATCTATAATGAAGGCAGAGCAAGCAATTCTGCAACGCTTGGATGCTGCAACTAAGGCTCCACATTGGCCTGTTGGTGTTGATGGTTGGTAATTCCATCTGATTTGATTATGTGATATAGTTATCAGTTAGTTTACAATTACAATAGAAATATAAATATATGGTTGGTGTGGTGGATATAAAAGACACAGATTGATATCCAAAGTGATAGATGGTGGATGGAAGTTTTATCTGTACATATGATATGAATGATAATGGAACTCAGTAGTTGTAGTTACTTGATACTTGTAGGTGATCATCTGCCTGCCAAGATTCCTGTTCCAGTTCCGCCTTCTCGTTCGGCAAAGAATGATGAGGTTGTTGTTGTTGTTGAGAAGAAAATGCCCTTTTTTTTTTAAAAAAAAAAATTTATAATAACTATAGGTTATAAAATTATCTCGGTCTAATTCAAATTATAACTTTTGAGTGCTTCTGATCTGATTCTTACCGGTAACCAAAACTGTTGTTTTTATTTTTTATTTTTTATTTTCTTGGTCTGTTATATTTTAATTCCCATAGAAATGCATGTCATGTCAGGTATTGAGTCGACCAGAGCAGCTGAATGAGCAAGGTCGTGCACTGGAGGTGGCTATAGAAGCAGCAGTCTCAGCAATTATTCATCTCAAGGACAGTTTAAATGAGTGGGACAGCAAAGTGGGAGATGGTGACTGTGGATCAACAGTAAGTCTAAGTCCACATCCAGATTTTGGTATTATCATCTAAATCCTAACTTTTATATATATATATATATATATATATATATATATTATAATTTACAGATGTCTAGAGGCGCAACAGCTATTCAACAAGACTTGAAGAAGTAGTATGTTATGTTCTCCGACTACTATTCATTCAATTATCATTATTATGTGCATGCAATGCGTTATTGAATTACTATTTTTCTGTTTTGTAGCTACCCCCTGAATGATGCTGCAGAAACCATAAATGAGATAGGATCATCTATCCGAAGAGTCATGGGAGGAACAAGTGGAATCCTGTATGTATTATTACTCAACTTTCTTTCTACAAGGTTTTTTTTACAATCTGTTTTGATTTTTTGAAACAGATATGACATATTTTGCAAGGCAGCATATGCACGGTTGAAACTGAAGAGCCAATCAGGCGTTACTATTACACCACTCCAATGTGATAACAATTTTCTGTCTCAGTATTTCTTCTTTTGCATATCATTTACATATATCTGTGGCTGTGCAGGGGCTGATGCATTTGAAGGGGCCATCAGTGCTGTTATGCTATATGGTGGGGCTGCTGCAGGCTATCGCACTATGCTGGATGCTCTTATTCCGGCTTCAACGCTTCTTAAACAGGTTAGGTTAACACAAACTACTTTAATAATCTACATGTCTTGATTTTTTAGAATTAAATATATAGCATCCTACTTTCTTTTCTTCTTTTTACACACAGCAGTGTACTCTGAAACTACACAATCATAGCATAGCAACGCCATTCAAATACATACAAATCATTTCAGTGCTATATTTGGATAGCTTTTTTCTAGTATCACATCTTAATTGAAAGTAGGATGCTATAAGTGGGTAGATTCTTGCCCTGATAAGAAAAAAAAAAAAAACTCAACGTAGAAAGAAATGGAAATATGTATAAACAGATGAAATGAAAAAAACATGGGTATTTCTTGCATTTAGCCAGATTTTAATATAATATAATATACTATGATGTTGGGTTCCATAACAGTAAGAGTAGTTAAAGTATGTAATATATATATATTTGATGATATTGAAGTAAGTGATAAGTGTAGTGAGTAGTGTATGGTGATTGATGTATGGGTTTGAGTACAGAGGTTAAGTGGTGGTGATGATCCATTGGATGCATTTGTTAAGTCAGCTGATGCAGCAGTTGCTGGAGCAGAGTCTACTAAACAAATGGAACCTCAGGTAATAATAAATAAACCTTGTTTGTTGAGTTGAGTTGTTTTTTGATAATGCTTGGTTCGTATAATCTTATCTATGAACTATGATTTCTTATGTTTATACCAAAAAAGCAAATTCTGATTTTGTTAAATAGAGTGGTGATGATTTGTGAATGCAGGCTGGGAGATCAACATATGTGAGTGCAGATATGCTAACATCAGTTCCTGATCCAGGGGCCATGGCTGCAGCTTCATGGTACCGTGCGGCTGCCCTTGCTTTAAACCATCACAACTCCAAACCACCACCACCACCACCACCATCATAGGCGGGGCTGGGTTGTAGTACATTTTTTTGTGGAGAATTTATGAATACGATATACAGTACCAAACCAAACAGGAAGGATCAGGATCCGCTTATGCCATGTGTTGCATGCATAAAGCTGAGAGACACATTCAAACACATATATATTATATTAACATACAATTAATGTGACAGAAACTGGAAACAATTTCATGATGATGATGATGATGATGATGATGATGTGATGTGCCAGCATGGTGTTTGTTATCTTAACTCTCGACTCTTAAGCTTTATCTTTCATCAATCATCCAACATATATCTCAAACTCTATCCCTTCCTTTCTTCATCACCCATTTTCTATAGTTTTGCATTTGCTTGCCTTCATTCCTTTCAACAGAATTTAAAAAAAATAAAATAAATCATTTTCTAGTTTATAGTTTGGCTTGGGAATTGGGATGAGTTCTATTCCATGTTTGCATAATTGCATCCCAATTCCAGCTTCTAAACTTAATCAGACCTATTATTTATTTACTTTAAAATGATTTCATTTCTTTTCTATATCATCTTCAACATGTCAAATTCAATGTATGGGAATGGAATCGATTAATGGAAGTTGGGACAACTTTATTATCAAACTCTTATTCCAACTCTTATCATCATTAAGTCATCAAGTCTTTTTAGTTTATAAGCTAGCTTTAAAAAAATACTTATTAGTTTATAAACAAGCTTTTAAAAAAATACTTTTAATTTTTATTTTGTCAATTATAATGATTGATGTGCTTATTATTATTATTATTATTATTATGGGTGTGTTCAGCAAAACTAGTTGACAACATCTAGCTCGTAGCTGGTAATGTTTTGTTAAACGTTACATGAGATTGTTTTAGATTTGAAACGTTTTGTTTAAAATATATGCTAAAAACTTGTAGTGCCAATTTTTTTTATTTTTATTTATTATTATTTTTTTTAACAAAACGTTTTGTTAAAAGCTAGAAGCTAGAAGCTTCCAAACACTTCGTGCCGAACATGCCTATATCATGTGATTATTAACCTATATGTTTTTTTAACAACAAATCTAATCTACTAATAAACTACTTTTTAATTTCACTTATGTCTACGACAGGACACCAACCCTCAACCTCAAGGACATGTGATAACACTTGATGCCGTTGGGTGGGGTTAGAAGCCCTTTGGTGTTAACCTATATGGCTATATGTGCTGGTTATGTCTTTAATATGACATTTTATCCTAAAGTTCACAAATATAAAAATGTAATGCGACAAACTAAATATATAATGAGGATTGACTAAACATTTTTTATTTTGTGCATTTTAGACTCATCAACTATATTATTATTATTATTTTTTTGCAAAAAACGAAAAGTAATTAAAAAATAAGAAACTTTTATAATTTCAAATGTTTTTTTTTCCAGTGGTTGCTATCGAAATTATTTTTGTTAACCAAATAAGTGTTCATTTAATATAATGGTGTGAAGTTAGGGTATATTTGGAAACAAATTTTTTTCTTTTTTTAAATGCTTCAAAAACTTATTTAAACGTTAGTCTGAGAAGCTATAATAAAACTCTTATAAGTTGGTTTTTTGTTTGCCTAATATGGTAATCTAAAAAAATTCGAAAAATAAGTTAATGGTGATATGCCAAATATAGACTAATTCGTTTTTTTTTCTCTCTTTACGGTGACCAAATGTACTTTTTTTAAGTAACTAAAACACAATACCATCAACCATCAAACAACATACCTAAATGAATTAAGTAACAAAACGCTTTGATTCAACTTTTTTTTAATTAAAACCAAATAAAATTTTTTAGATTTTAGAAATGGCTCTGTTTTCCATTTCTTCTGAAATCAGAAAATATTGATTTGGTTTTAATTAAAAGAAAATTGAATCAAAGCGTTTTGTTACTAAATTACCGTCATTTAGGTATATTGCTTAATAGTTAGTTGTTGGTATTACGCATTAGTTACTTAAAAAATAAATTTGGATGTCCAAAAAAAGGAAAAACAAACAATTTTGATCGATTCTTTCTCTTCTCTCCTCTTGGCTAGCCGGCTAAGGGGTATGCTACCGGCGCTATACTCGGCTCTCGCCATAAGAAGCTCGTTATACAACGCTCATCTTCATTTTACACTCATAATCTTTGAATATTTAGGGACAAAATATTTATTTAATGCAACTTTTATCTCCAAAATATTTTTTAATCATGTTTTAAATCAATTTGTAACTTTTTTTATTACTATGAAATGCTTGTGTTTTATAAAAATAGAATTTGTTTAAGTTTGAAAAAAATGCATCTGGTATGCTACCACTACTTAAGAAATGTAAAGGAGATCGTGCTATTGGGGTGATAACACAAAAGATGAGATGACAATGTGTTAAAATGACAATATGCTAAACAATGTGTTAAAATGACAATATGCTAAACATGTTATCATTCCTGTGTTATCATTTCTTTCTGACCTTAGTACATTCTATTTTTAAATACAAAATAAATAAATAAATACATAATTTGGTTTACTTTCCAAGAAAACACAAGAAACAACGAATTTAGTTTAATTTAAAGGAACCAAATCAACGACACTATCCCACCATTTATGATTATTATTGGGGAATCTAAACGAAATAGGGTAATTGAAATCTGGATAACAAACAGGAATCGTGTAAACACTTTCCTTGTTTGATATTTCGACCCTATATGCCTTGGGTGTCATGAAATCCAAACTGAGATAATTCCTGATGTAACAATTCTGATTTAAGGCACAAAAACAGAATCAATTTTGAGAAGAAGATGAAGAAGAAAACGTTTTCAGTTTTCTGTGTTTCAAAGGAGTCGTCCTTTTCCCGGACTTATCCACTCAACGGATAAACGAGAACAATTTACATCTTTAAAGAATGACCGATTAGTCCTTGAATTTGCATCTTTAAAGAATGACAGAGTAGATTAGGGTTCGGTACTAACAATGTTTAGTAAATACAAGTGTGCACTCTCACACCTCCTAACTTGTATTATAACTAAAACATTATTCTTGAAACACTTGTTAAGTCCATTACACTAAAATATATTTGGTAATAAAATCACCAACAATTATTATATACATTATTATAAATTATAGATGCTCAATTTTGTCTTCATAATAATTTGATAGAATCAAGCGACCCTACAAGTAAGTGTTCATGTGATCTCCTGGTGTAAAAGTAAAACTATGAGTGAAGGAGACCTTAAACTAAATTATTAGCATCTCTAACCTTATATAGAAAAAGGAATAACACACACACATAGTATTTAAGCCAAAGAGAGAATAGTATTTCTATATCTCATAACGTACAAGCACCACTTATGAGCTTTTTATACATATGCAATAAAAAATCCTTCTGCGAAAATTGTACTTTTTTCAAGTTATGATTTTTAAATTCCCAAGAATACCATGAAACTAAACCACAAACAAAATAATTTCAAGAAACCAGAGAAAAACCTATATTACGAGTGGTCACCACTTATCACTTCAAAAAGTATAGCTACGTCACCACTATATTACTGTCACTTCCTCGTCACAACCTTACCTTAGGAAGTGGTCACAACTCCAATCCACATCACCAATATCATTTTAATTTCTTATTTATTTTAATACAACATCTAATAAAATAATATCTATTTTCACAATATAAAACTAACTAAAAATAAAAATAACATAATTAAAAATAAAATATTAATTTCTAGTCAACGTCATCCTGATGTGAAGTCGGACGTCCTCAAGTATCTCTCTGGTGCTAGTTGGCTTGGTTCTTGGTGGAGATCTGAATCACAAAAAGAGAAACGGGTCGTTAGCCGTGCTATGGGGGCAATATTCTTTGAGCCACCGGAAGAGAAGATTGGAATGTATGTAAAACATCTCGATGTTGGTTATTGTCTTCCTACTTCCGACTTCTTCTGGGAGATCCTTGATCATCATAAAGTTCATTTTAATAAGTTGGTTTCGAATGACGTGAGCAAGGTGGTGGACTTTGAGATCTTATGTCATGCGAATGACATAACACCTGGTGTATGGCTGTTTTGCCATTTTTCCGGTTTGCTTCAACTTCGTCTGGTGAGAATTACACTTTTTCCATTCATAAGTACATTCATGCCTTAGTGGTGGATCAGAACAACTCTCCTAAGAATTGGGCCAGTCGTTACTACTTGGTGAATTCCAATCGTGTCAGTGTGATGGAGCGTCGGACAATGCTTATCTCTGATCAGACTTTTACCCTTTATTATGACAAGGAACATATGGATAGGTGTTAATGTATCCTTCCAAGAATACCTAAAAGGTAACGGGATGATTATCCAAAGGACAGCCTAGCTAACGGTCGTTACTTGGCACAAGTGCTAGATCCGGGCCCTCGCCCTTGCGGCCTCGTGCTTAGGCCCCAACGTCCTAACACCAAGGCCCATAACATGCCAAAATAGTACCAGATTGCTCCCCAGAACGACGAGTGTAGCGCTCAGAGCGCCACTCCTCAATAACTCTGCACCAATAGAGGATAACAACTAGTGGTGTATGACTCACCAATAGGACGCCTCCACGTCCTAACAGTCCAAACAAGGCAGAAGGTGTTGTCGGGGACATGCTCCCCGAGCAACATGTATAAAAGGAACCTTCTTCTTCAGAAGAAGGGATCTCTCGCTCTTTCTATCTAAGATAAAACCCTAATTATCCCATACACTTCCTAACTAGGATATCAAAGTCTCGTTCTGGGACCCCCTCCCGGACGATGACTAGCGTAAGCTCTTTCTTTGTTGTGATTCTCAGGCTTAGTCAGACGATGCAACCCAAAAACAACGTTAAGCTTGAGGACATATCACAACATTTGGCACCATCCGGGCGTATACTTAGAGTTGCACAACCTTAAAACGACCTGTGACATCCCCAAAATCACGGCCAGAAAAGACCGGTTTCATTTATGCTTTTAAATAAAATCAGAGTAATCCTTTGATTAAAAGAGTTGTGGAATTTGTTCCCAAAACGAAATATGATAAAAATTTATCAAAGTATTTCATAAAGAAATGTATTTTCATTATATAACAAAATCTCGGGATGTCATGTTCCGATACAGACCAAAAGCATAAACAATACAAAATAGACCTTACAACAGTTATACATAACTACAGGTCTATAATCCAAAAATATCTTGAGAAAGTCATCCAACTTATGCCCTTGCGCCACTACCTGTAATACAAAGAAACTGAGTGGGTCAGGCTTGGGAGCCTGGTGAGCATATAGGGTTTTCAACCCACAATAAATAATTATATTTAATTTCACCAACCAACAATAACCCGATTACCCACTCTCGTTATCCTCACTTTATGTCCCTAAAACAACAACTATTACAAGGGACCTAATCTAGGATTTTCATCGGGACGAACATTACTGCAAAAGGGCTTCCTTAGCAACCATGAGGGGGATAGAGTACACCGGTGAACACATCGTTCACAACACCTATAGATTATGAGCCTGCTAGTGTTCCACTGGACTGTCTACAATGAGTCCGTGGTCGTCATCCATACTCCGCTAGATGACTAGATCAACAACGACATCGAGGCCTCTCATCATTTTATTTTATCACACACCAACTGTCTACCCATGTTCTACCCAACATATTAGTAGATAAAATATATACATTTATATACAACTTAAAACCTGTACAAAACATCCATTCAACAACTAGTTCAAATAAACAAATAATATACAAACACATAACACGTATTTTACAAGAATACTTCATGTCTATGTGTTAGAAGAAAACGAATATACACTCACTTGATAAGAAAATGATCGGACAGCACCTCGGCTCTTAAAATAAACTTTTCCGATAGAACCGGGATGTTTTTCTTGAAAACCGGGCCTTTCGCGTTCTATTTATAGGGTGCTGAAACTCGATTTATGCTGGGCGTAATTTCGGAGTACGCTGGGCGTACATCGAGTACGCTGGGCGTACTCTTCAGATAAGCTTTGGTATGCGTGCCACGATCTTCAAAAATTCATAACTTTCGCATACGAGCTCCGTTTTCGACGTTCTTTATATCCACACGTAGGTGAGATTATGCTCTACAACTTTCATTTAGACTCCGTTGGCTAGTTTTGACTTTATTTTTATTATATTATTTTTAGTAGGCCAGGACAGGAAAACTCCGTTATAAATCCATAACTTCTTCATCCGACGTCCGTTTTCGTCTGTCTTTTTACCGTTGCACTACTAATGACGAGATCTTCGATTCTCGTTTAGATTGTTTCGGGTAAAAATCACTCGATCTCAAAATCGAACTTCGGGCTGCATACTGCTAAGCTGAAACTTATAAAAATCATAACTTCCTCATACGAAGTCAGATTTAGACGTTCTTTTTATGCACGCTCTCGGTTTAACATAATCTACAACTTCCGTTTAGATAACTAAGGATAGATATCGCTCTATCTTAAATTCATATTTTACGTCCTTCAGCGTCGTGCCGGTTCCGTCGCGAAACTTCGACAGGTCATAACTGTTATAACTCGGATTTCAGCATTCTTTATATTTTCGGAAACCTTGCCACGACCACTAAAACTTCATGTAGAGATATCGGGCTTATCTAAAATTTCATTTTGACGCTTATTTTTATTCTTAATTCATTTAATCCACACAATTAAGCATAAAACACATAATACTCAAATAACACATTCTTATTATTTTAAAATGAGTTTACAAAGGTTGACCTAGACTATTACAACAACATTAATGCCTAGCCCAGAAACACGGGCGTTACAACTCTCCCCACCTTAGAATGATTCCGTCCCCGGAATCACACATCAACAAACAAATGCGAATAGCGACTCATCATGTCACTCTCCGTTTCCCAGGTGAGAGTTGGCCCATTCGCATGTTTCCAACGGACAAGCACTAATTTGACCATCTTACGTCGTAACTTCTTAGTCTTTCGGTCAATGATTGCCTCCGGTTCTTCAATTAACCTTTTGTTCTCATCAATTCTTAACTCCGAAAGTGGAATCATGTCGGGAACTTCTCCCGTGAACTTCCTCAAATAACACACATGAAAAGTGTTATGAATTCCACTCAGTTCTTCTGGTAGTTCGAGCTTGTATGCTTGGTTCCCAATCCTCTGAAGAACCTTAAACGGTCCAATAAACCTTGGACTTAACTTTCCCCTTTTTCCAAACCTTATAAGTCCCTTCCACGACGAGACTTTAAGCAAAACCGAATCTCCAACTTCAAAAGTCATCGGTCTTCTTTTCTTGTCAGCATAGCTCTTTTGACGATCCTGAGCTGCTAACATTCTCTCCTTAATTATTTTCAACTTTTCAGCAGTTTGATGGACTATCTCCAGTCCCATAAACTGCTTTTCCCCAGCCTCAAGCCAACAACACGGCGTACGACACTTTTGTCCATACAAAGCTTGATAAGGTGCCATCTTTATGCTCGAGTGGAAACTATTATTGTAGGAAAATTCTACCAAAGGTAAATGTTCATCCCAGTTACCTTGGAATTCCAAGGTACATGCTCTCAGCATATCTTCAAGTGTTTGTATCGTTCTTTCGCTCTGACCATCAGTCTGTGGATGGTAAGTTGTATTCAAACACAACTTGGTACCCAATTCCTCTTGTAGACTTTTCCAAAATCGCGAGGTGAAACGGCTGTCACGATCTGACACAATCGTTAACGGAACACCGTGAAGCCTCACAATTTCCTTCACGTAAGAATTCGCAAGCTTATTCATAGACCATTTCTCATTGGCTGCTATGAAATGCGCACTCTTAGTGAAGCGATCAACGACCACCCAAATCATGTCGTGACCATTCTTTGTTCTGGGCAGTTTAGTGACAAAATCCATAGCAATGTCTTCCCACTTACCCATAGGCACATGTAAAGGTTCTAAACTCCCGTATGGTTTCTGATGTTGTGCCTTGACTCTCGCACAGGTCACACACTCTGCCACATACTTCGCAATGTCAAGCTTCATCGTCGACCACCAGTAATAGGGTTTCAGGTCCCTATACATTTTAGTGCTACCGGGATGAATTGAGTATATGGTTTTGTGAGCTTCTTCCATCAGAAGATCTCTTATTCCTCCTGACTTGGGTACCCAAATACGATCTTGGAATACCTTCAGTCCATGACCGTTTGTACCGAACACCAACGTTTTGCCCAAACGTTCCTCCTTCCGGTCATTCTTTTCAGAAGCTTCCTCTTGAGCTTTCTTTATACTCTCCACAATTGTCGAGACAACTTTTATTCTCAACGCTCTTGGCCTTTTTCTTTCAAGATTGACTTTCCGACTGAGAGCATCAACAACAACATTGGCTTTACCGGGGTGGTAAAGTATCTTGCAGTCGTAGTCCTTAAGTAATTCTAGCCAACGTCTTTGCCTCATATTCAATTCTTTCTGATTAAAGAGATATTGGAGACTCTTATGATCAGTGAAAAGTTTGCACTTCGAGCCATAGAGGTAATGCCTCCATATCTTTAGAGCGAAAACTACCGCTGCCAGCTCCAAATCGTGAGTAGGGTAGTTCTTTTCATGCTCTTTCAGCTGTCGAGACGCGTATGCTATCACCTTTTCTCTTTGAGTCAACACACAACCCAATCCAACACCGGACACATCGCTATAGACAACGAAGTCTTCAACTCCATCGGGTAGAGAAATAATCGGTGCTTCACAAAGCTTCTTCTTTAGCAACTCGAATGCTTCTTTGTGTTTATCACTCCAAGCATAAGTAGCTCCTTTGTGAGTCAAAGCTGTTAATGGAGTAGAGATTGAAGAAAAGCCTTGGATAAACCTTCGGTAGTATCCGGCTAATCCCCAAAAGCTTCGGACCTCCGTGGGACTTTTTGGTTGTTCCCACTTCATCACAGCTTCGATCTTTGCTGGATCAATCATTATTCCTTCTTGGTTGACCACGTGACCCAAGAATTGGACTTCTCGGATCCAAAAATCACATTTGGAGAACTTAGCATACAGCTTCTCCTTCTTTAAGACTTCTAACACTTCGCGCAAGTGTTTTCCATGCTCCTCTTGGCTTTTCGAATAAACCAGAATGTCATCTATGAACACTATCACAGATTTATCAAGGAACGGATTGCAAACTCTGTTCATTAAATC